TCCTTCCGCCTCAGCCTTCCAAGTAGCTGGAACTACAGGTGTGCACTACCACGCCTGGCTCATTTTGATTTATTTTAGAGATGAGGGCTCACCAAGTTACCCATGCGGGTCTCAAACCCGCCGGCTGAGGCAATCCACTCACCTCAGCCCGCGGGTTCGAGACAGAGTGAGACTCCAACTAAAAATTATAAATAAATAAAGCCTGAGCCACCGAGTCCAGCTTATATTGTTTTTTATTGTTTGTTTTTGCTTTGAGTCCGAGTCTCACTCTGTCACCCAGGTTGGAGTGCAGTAGTGTGCTCCGGGCCACCGCAGCCTTGACCTGCTGGGATCTGGTGATCCTTCCTTCCAAGTAGCTGGAACTACAGATGCGTGCTAGCATGCCCGGCTAATTTTTTGATTTATTGTAGAAACAAGGTCTCACCATTTTGCCTTGGCTGGTCATGAACTCCTGGGCTCAGGCAATCCTCTCTCCTCGGCCTCCCAAAGTGCTGGGATTATAGGCATGAGCCACCGCATCCAGCCCTCTATATCTTTCAATTCCTGGTCCAGGAACCACCTTGATAGTTTTCCTTTGGTGGGCTGAGAATGTGGGGTGGACTGGGAGTCTACGGTGAATTCACATTCCAGACACAGCGTGGCTCAACTTACAGATGTCTGAATGCTCCCTTACTAAAAAAAAAAATGCCTGTAAGAAATATATTTTGGTTGGGCACAGTGGCTCACGCCTATACTCCCAGCACTTTGGGAGGCCGAAGTGAAAGGATTGCCTGAGCCCGCCAGTGTGAGACCAGCCTAGGCATCTCTATAATACATAGAGTGAAACTGCATCTCTATAATACATCAAAAAATTAGCCGGGCGTGGTGGTGTGCATCTGTAATTCCATCTACTTGGAAAGCTGAGGGGTAAGGATCACCTGAACCTGGCAGGTCAAGGCTGCGATGGCTGTGAGCATACCACTGCACTCCAGCCTGGGCAACAGACTCGGACTCAAAAAATAAAAGTGTGTCTTTTTCTTTTTTAAAGAAATATATCTTTTTAAACACCAGTTATTCTGCCTCATTGATTGTTAATATTGGCACATACAGAACTGCTAAAAATTACTGGGTCAGGTGCAGTGACTCACAGCTGTAATCTCATCATTTTTTTTTTTTTTGAGTTGGTGTCTCACTCTGTTGCCCCGGCTGGAGTGCAGGGGCACACTCACAGCCACCGCAGCCTCGATCTGCTGGGCTTAGGTGATCCTTCTGCCTCAGCCTTCCAAGCAGCTGGAACCACAGGCATGCGTCACCACGCCTGGCTGATTTTTTTGATTTATTGTGCAGATAAGGTCTCACCAAGTTGCCCAGGTTGTTCTCAAACCCGTGGGCTCAGGGAATCCTACATTGGCCTCCCAAAGTGCTGGGATTATAGGTGTGAGCCACCGCGCCTGACCAATCTCTTCATTTTGAGGCTGAGGCAGGATGATCTCTCGAGCCCATGAGTTTTAGGCCAGCCTTGGCAATATTGAGACTCCATCTCCATAAATAAGACAAAAAAGAGGAAGAATGTGAACAGGAAATAATTACTGTACTATAACTTTGTTTCTTGCCCTCTTTTTGCTTATCACACACTTCAGTTGTCATATCTCTTACTAGAGAAACCTGTTGAATGTACACATTGGCACATTAAATGTGACGTTACTTATCCAATCCCATTCAAATGTACATTTTAGTTGCATTCAATTCCTTAAACAATTCTACGAGAATCAACTTGTACACAGAGGCAGTAGAGTTCAGGAGGAAGAGCTTTGTTTTTTCGAGTTGGAGTCTCACTGTCCCCCAGACTAGAGTGCAGCGGCTGCTCCCAGCCACCGCAGCCTCGTCCTGCTGGGCTCCGGCGATCCTTCCACCTCAGCTTCCAAGTAGCTGGAACTACTGGTGCGCACTACCACGCCCGGCTAGTTTTTTTGATTTATTGTAGAGATGAGGTCTCGCCAAGTTGCCCACGCGGGTCTCGAACCCGCGGACTCAGGCAATTCACTCACCTTGGCCTCTCAAAGCGCATGGGATTACAAGGCTGAGTCACTGAGCCCAGCCAGACCTTTGAAGCCACAAGTTTGGGTATTCCAGAATCCTAACACAGCTGTGTTATCCGGGGCAATTAAGCACTTCAGTTTCCACATCTATAAAATGGTTAAGTGGTGATAAGAGGACCTACCCACCCTTTATGTTACTATCAGAATTGAGCCACTACTTGCAAACTGGTTACAACAGTGACTGGGACAGATTAAGTACCATTTACCTGTGTCTATTCAGTGCATTAGTTTTTAGATATAAACAAATCTCTAAAACAGAAGTTGTTTCTCCTTGACCCTATCAAGCTAATATTTCCTAGTATGGAAGACTGCTTAGCTGTCACTCCGAATTCTATTGTTTTGTCAGTAATTTTGTTGTTGAGCACATTACTACACAGCTATGGATTATTATATATTTACCCTCTTTCCTTACAGTTAAATATGGCCCCAACACAATGGGATATGAGAATGTTAATTCTGTCAGCTTTAGTATCTCAGCATGTTTCCCAGTTCCCCCTTCTCCTGTTTCCTCAAATTGGAAGATGAGCACCAGACCACCTTTGGACCCAGAAAAGGAATCTATCTTTCGAGTATAGAAGAACTGCACACATGTGGACAGCTACCTGAGAGAAAAGTAATTATGCTTTATTTAATAATCTGCACCCCACCATGTCTAGAAAAAAACTAAAGATGAGGATTAGAGTCATAAACAGAACATGTGCTGAAAACAAAAGGAACGAGAGGGCATGAAAATCCAGTTTGAAACCATATTTTATTTTTAACATAGCTAGAAATATCCAATAACTATATGTTTTTAGCAGAAAAATTGTTTTCCATCTCACAGCATCATTAGCATAAGAATATTTCCGGTTTAGAAGTAATATTGAGCTCCTATGAAAATTAAGAATGTATTTTGCATTTGTGGAACTTAAAAGTCTAAAAGCACAGGACACATTTTCAGAACAATTTTAGTTTTACCAATTTATGGTAATTTTCCAATGTTAAATATAATTAGGTAATGCATAGTCAAGTAAATCAAATAAGGAATCCAGAAGAAATTATTTTTGAGTTAAGCCCAGCACACAATGGAAATTTTGAGAAAGGAGAACACACATTAACAAAAAGAACACGTGAGCTCAAATGCAAGTTTATGTGGTGAATGTTTTTAAAGGATTTAAAAAGCTCGCTCCATCAGCATACAACTTTCTCTCATTTATATAACAGATGCATTTCTGTCTACTTGTGGCTAGCAAAGGGTTAGAACCTGAATAAGATTATTTGATTTTAGAAATGTGCTATTTTAGGAAGGTACTTCATAGATTCTATCACTGATTCTTCAAATTAAACAAAGTACACAAGGTCTCATACTTGAAATTGCTTTCATACACTAGCACTTCCTTGAAACATTGTAGAAACCTATCAGTGTCAGGTAATGCCTAACAGCGTCATTTGAATGCACAACAGAAAATTTAACATTTTCTTTATAGTTGGAGAGGAGGGAAAAAAAACAGAGGTGGGTTTATGGTCGCACTATTTAAGGAGAAGCTGAGTAGGAAGACATGGAATCTTTCGTAGTTCTAACAACTCCATATAATGAATGACTGGATACCTCATTTATTTTTATTAATGCATGCTTAATCAAGAAGTCTGTTTCTCCTCCATGAATATCAATTTAATTCAAATCTTATTTTCTTCAAAATACAAAGACGAATACAAGAAATTCTAATTGCAACAGGTATTTCCTAAGTAGAAGACCAAACACCAAAGGGAATTCCCTCCTTTCAGTGTTTTTTGATATGTCAAGATTTTACCAGAGTGGAAATCTAACATTTAAAAAAAGGATTTTCATGGTCAAGTTAAGAACCTACCCCTGCTATGGGCATTACCTGACAGTTACCATATGTATTATATATTAAAGTCAGCATTAAACACGCTTACACAAATATGCTGTGAATGATAGCAGTAATGATGCTTGTGAAAAAAGAACATCTTTAAGCCCAAGAAGAGTAAGAGAGAAAAATGTAACAAACAAGCAGAAAGCAAACATCGAGTTGGGCATTTTTTTGACCAGGATAGATAATTTTACACATAAAAATATAAAAAGAAAAGTACTCCTTTATTTCCTCTACATGGAAATAATATGAGACATTTGATATATTGGACAAGAACAGAGCTAAGTAATCCAACTCTACTGCAGCATTACAAAAAACCACCCCTTCAGCACAGTGTGTAAGATTTAAATGCAACCTGCACAAGGGTGCGTGTTATTATATAAAACATAGCAAGATTGGTGCTGCACCCTGCCAAGTACTTCCAGTCCCTACCCAGGTCCTACTGAATACTGGTGGTCCCAATTTGTTTTACTGAAATAAATCTTTTTTTAAAAAATAAAGCATTTAAAAAGAGAAGTCAAAATGTCTCTGGAACCATATATCCAACTCAAACTTTACCCATTTAAATTAGTTGTATTTGCTCTACTAATAAACTTATTTCACTCAAACTAGAGCAATAACCTTCCATACTTAAGTATCTTCCTTGCCCAATAATTCAAAGGAAAAAATCCAAAATGATTAGTAAAGAAAAAGTAGGAATTAACATACCATTTTAATTTGTTTTAAATATTTTTAAGGTTTACAAAGTGTTTGTAATTCCTAGTAGGAAAACATTATCTGAATAAATACCCTAATGGCAAACCACTGTAAAATGCTTCAGCTGCATTGGGGACAGAGGGAGGAGGGATTATCTTTAGCGCACCCCAGCTCTCTTGATGAGGTCAGAGGTACACTGGTTTGTATTATTGCGACATCCATTAGGTGATCTAGGTTGCTTTTCCTTCAGCAAGGGCTTTTTAGAGAAGGGCATTATGCCTGACCTCCAAACTTGGCTGACAGTTTACTGATGAGATTCATAACCTTTGGGTTGCTCTGGTATTTTGACATATTTGCTGGGTTCTGGGCCACATCCTGGAAGGCCACCATAACTTCTGGATCCTGAGGGGGAAAAAAAGGTGTTTTTGTTTTGTTTTGCTTTTAGTACTTAAAACGTATCCAACTGGTCAACAAGTTTATGATCCTTTATGCCATCTATTTTTTTTTTTTTTTTGAGTTGGAGTCTCACTCAGTCACCCAGACTGGAGTGCAGTGGCACGCTCCTGGCCACCGCAGCCTCGACCTGCTGGGCTCTGGCGATCCTTCCGCCTCAGTCTTCCAAGTAGCTGGAACTACAGGTGCGCGCTACCATGCCCGGCAATTTTTTTGATTTGTTGTAGAGATGAAGTCTCGCCAAGTTGCCCAGGTGGGTCTTGAACCCGCGGCTCAGGCAATTCACTCACCTCAGCCTCCCAAAGTGCAGGATTACAGGCTGAGTCACCGAGCCCAGCCTTATGCCATCTCTTTATTTATTTAGACAAAATTATTATAATTTTGTCATGGCCAAATTATCTGGGATTTAGACAAGTCCTTGAAGTATTAATGTGCACCTCAAAGTCAAATTCAATTATGTCATTTAAACTAGATAATGAAAAAAAGCACATACAATTTTGAAAGGGACAACTGGATATAACTGCCTAATTGCCAACTATGATGAAGTATTTACTTATAAACCAATTTTATTTTTTGAGTTGGAGTCTCACTCCATCGCCTAGGCTGCAGTGCAGTTGCATGCTCACAGCCACCCCAGCATCAACCTGCTGGGCTCCAACGAACCTTCCACCCCAGCCTTATAAGTAGCTGGAACTAAAGGCATGCACTGCCAAGCCTGGCTAAACTTTTTCCTTTCAAGACTTACCTGCATGGCAGCAAGAACCTCTGGATCACTAAGAATTTCATTGAGTCCAGGCATTCCTGCCATTCCAGGCATGCCTCCTGCCATTCCAGACATTCCTCCAGGAAAACTGCCAGGCATTCCTCCAGGAAAGCCGCCTGCAAGAATAAACGAAAGAATTGTATAGACACCCACGCATATTCCTACACAATCTGATATACTTTTTCCTTCCAATTAAAAATAACACACAAGCCAGGCTCGGTGGCTCAGCCTGTAATCCCGCGCCTTTGGGAGGCTGAGGTTGAGTGGATTGCCTGAGCCCGCGGGTTCAAGACCCATCCAGGCAGTGAGACCTCATCTCTACAATAAATCAAAAAATCAGCCCGGCGTGGTAGCGCATGCCTGTAATTCTGGCTACTTGGAAGGCTGAGGCGGAAGGATCGCCGGAGCATAGCAGGTCGAGGCTGCGGTGGCCGGGAGCGGCCACTGCACTCCAGTCTGGGTGACAGAGTGAGACTCCAACTCAAAAAAAAAAAAAAAAAAGAGATGGAATATATACAGAGATATGTGTAAAAAAAAAAAAAATGAGCTGGCATTATGTAGAAAGAGAACATGTGAAGTGCTTTCACAGTGGTATACAGACTGGACAATAAACTATGTATTATTAATTTGAGAGGAAGAAAATGAGATGCAACTATCTGCTCAAACAGAAAAACACCAAAGGCTGGGTGTGGTGGCTCAAGCATATAATCCCAGCACCTTGGAAGGCCGAAGTGAGAGGACTGCCTGAGCCCAGGGGTTCAAGATCAGCCTGGGTAACTTGGTGAGACCTTGTCTCTACAATATTTCAAAAAATTAGCCAGGTGTAGTAGCACTTGCCTGTAATTCCAGCTACTTGGGAGGCTGAGGCGGAAAGATTGCCTGAGCCCAGCAGGTGGAGGCTGTGGTGGCCATGAGTGTGCCCACTGCACTCCAGTCAAGGCAATAGAATGAGACTTTGACTCAAAAACAACAACAAAAACGTCAGAAAGATGTCAAACAAATAACTACTGTACAACTTGTATCAATGATCCTGCAATGCATGTTGGTGACTGTTTCACACATGAGAAAAATGTAAGATATAAAATTTTGGGTTTTTTGGTAATAAATAAGTTCCTCAATGTCCAAAATTGCATTATAAGCCAAATATTACAAGAAAATAATTGGTTCCAACACTACACTATTTATTTTTTGTTTTTTGAGTTGGAGTCTCCCTCTGCTGCTCAGGCTGGAGTGCAGCGGCATGTTCACAGCCACCACAGTCTCAACCGGCTGGGTTCAGACAATCTTTCCGACTCAGCTTTCCAAGTAGCTCAAACTACAGACGCAAGCCACCATGCCTGGCTAATTTTTAAAATAATTTATTGTAGAGACGAGGTCTTGCCAAGTTGCCCAGGCTGGTATCAAACTCCTGGTCTCAGGCAATTTTCTCACTTTGGCCTCCCAATGTGCTGGGATTACAGGCTTGAGTCACCACACCCAGCCTACACTATACTAATATGAAGTGATCTGCTTTTCACTATTTCATAAACACTGCAGTCAAGGTTCTGATGGTGATCTGTGAGAGTTCTCTGAGTGCAATGGGTTAAAATTGATTCATATGAGTTTAGTTAACTAGACTTTTGTTCTGTTTCGACAGTTCTTCCCTCAATTAAGAACTATCTAAAATGGTTGTACATCTATGGATTTTTAAATTTCTACCCCCAAATCAAATTCTGATAAGTGAAACTGGAAAACTTACTTTATTTTTTGAGTCAGTCTCACTCTGTCTCCCAGGATGGAGTGCAGTGGCACACTCATGGCCGCTGCAGCCCTGACCTGCTGAGCTCAGGTGATCCTTCTGCCTCAGCCTTCCAAGTAGTTGGAACCACAGGTGCATGCCACCACACCTGGCTAATTTTTTTACTTATTGAAGAGATGAGGTCTCGCCAAGTTGCTCAGGCTGGTCTTGAATCCCTGGGTTCAGGCGCCCAGCTAGAAATCTTCATTTTAAATAAGCACTGGGCACAGTGGCTCATGCCTGTAATCCCAGCACTTTGGGATGCTGAGGAGAGAGGACTGCCTGAACCCAAGGGTTTAAGACCCCAGCCTGGGCAACATGGAGAGACCCTGGTCTCTACAAAAAAAATATTTTTTAAGATTAGGAATTACAGTTTATTTAGAACGTGAACAAGAGAGCAAGAAAGAGGAGATTAACCAGCCCAAGGTAGGGGAGGGAACCAAAGCCAGGAAACATGCCCTGGCCATAGCTCAAAGAGCACGTGGCATACCCACCCACACCATAGCTTATAGCAAGTCAATGACCGCCACAAAGAAATTTAAAAAAATTAATTGCGGCAAGGTGTAGTGGCTCACGCCTATAATCCCAGCACTTTGGGAGGCTGAAGTGAGAGGATTACCTGAGCTCAGGAATCGAGATCAGCCCGGGCAACTTGGCAAGACCTCATCTCTACAATAAATCAAAAAATTAGCCAGGTGTGGTGGTGCATGCCCATAGTTCTAGCTACTTGGAAGGCTGAGGCAGAAGGACCACCTGAACTCAGCATATTGAGGCTGCAGTGGCCGTGAGTGTGCCACTGCACTCCAGCCTGGGCAACAGTGAGACTCCAAGTCAAAAAAAAAAAAAAAAGATGTTTGCAAGTTCAGTGTAAAAATAAAAATAACATACTATTATTTTTTTTGCTAATGTCAAGTTATCAGAAAATGCTAGCTAGGCAAAGATGTGAATGATACCAAAGGACTAACATGCAGATAGAAGACAGGGGAGAGGCACCCAGAAAAATTATCGAATATCCCTGATTAAGGTAGTGTGAAATTTATATAAAGTCCAAGAAGAGACTATAAAAGTTTTTTGTTTGGTTTTTTAAACAGCCACCTCCAGCTGGTTAATAGCCACTGGCTTTCACTAAAGGAAGCTTTATAGGGAACATTTATGCTAGAATTTAATTACATGATTCCAGTCTAGAAAATCCAGTCTTTATTCTGAAAGTTTATGTGCTCAGCAATAAAAGAAAATTAAGAAATAATGAGGATGGCCAGCTGTTTGAAGAAATAGCAAGAAAAAAAATTTAGTTCACAGTTTACTTCCTGTTTAAAATCATCTTAGCTGGGCTCGGTGGCTCAGCCTGTCATCCTGCGCTTTGGGAGGCTGAGGTGAGTGGATTGCCTGAGCCCGTGGGTTCAAGACCCGCCTGGGCAACTTGGTGAGACCTCATCTCTACAATTAAAAAAAATCAGCCACACATGGTAGCGCATGTCTATAATTCCCATTACTCGGAAGGCTGAGGCAGAAGGATCACTGGAGCCCAGCAGGTCGAGGCTGCAGTGGCCGGGAGCGGCCACTGCACTCCAGTCTGGGTGACAGAGTGAGACTCCAACTCGAAAAAAGAAATAAATAAATAAAATGATCTTATTGGGCGGTTTCTTTCGCCCATGCCAACTCTGGTATGTCTCACTTTCTTTTCTCCCTTCTTTCTCTAATAAACTTTGCTTGAAAACTTAAAATAGGAAGCTAGAAATTGTTTTCAGGCCCCCTTAGGTTTCCTCATCTGTGACTATTAGTTATTTATGGCCGTGTTTGAATTTGAATTACTGTCAAGTCAGGCAGAAATGACTGTATTATATTATGGCAATTTAGAAGTACTTAGGTTACATCATAAATTATTTTGCTGTTGTTGGAGTCTCACTCTGTCAACCCGGCTGAGGTGCAGTGGCATGGTAACGGCTACCCCAGCGCCGATCTGCTGGGATCCTGCGATCCTTCAGCTTCAGCCTTCCAAGTAGCTGGAAATACAGGTGCGTGTTACCATGCCCAGCTAATTTTTTATTACAGAGACAAGTTCTCGCCAAGTTGCCCAGGCTGGTCTTGAACCCACAGGCTCAGACAATCCACTTGCCTTGGCCTCCCAAAGCGCTGGGATTACAGGTTGAGCAACTGAGTCCGGCCCAAATCATGATAAATTGTTATAATTTTTTTTTTTTTTTGAGTTGGAGTCTCACTCTGTCGCCCAGACTGGAGTGCAGTGGCCGCTCCCGGCCACCGCAGCCTCGACCTGCTGGGCTCTGGTGATCCTTCCGCCTCAGCCTTCCAAGTAGCTGGAATTACAGACATGCGCTACCATGCCCAGCTGATTTT